CAGCGGATCAGGAGACCGCCATTCGGGTGCGAACTCTGCGAAGGTTTGCTAGAGGTTTTTGACTTTTAGCGGTTTAATACGGAAAACCCATGAGCTGGCAAAAGGTTAAAGTCCTAAGATCCCTTGGCCAAATGCACCAAAGATTCAATGAACTTGATGCCATCTGAGACTCATAGCAACCAGGTACAGGAAATGTTCAGAACAGCTTGCCACTTCCGGGGATGTTCCTCGGAGGGTTCGTCTGACAGGTGGAATCCCACTAGTCACTAGGCGTAAAGGCAACTATCGTGAGCAGCCAAAGACATGCATGCACAGGCCTCGTCTAGGCTCTCTTCGCTCGCTGCATCCTCCTCCTTGTTGGTTTCATATGTGACAAAGGCCTGGGCAATCGCTTTTTCTCCGGCGCAGGACTACTCAGGAGGGCTTGACAAAGAAAAGGGCAGGATTTACGGCGGGCTTGAACTCTATTATCACCAAAAGAGCAAACACATTGGGACCTGTGTGGAATGTGCAAGGCTTGTCCTTCGTGTTGCCCAAAGCCGCAGAGTGTTCACAGGCCTGAGTGTTAAGGTGCAACTCGCACAACATGCGGTTCAAATATGTGTTTTTGATGGTTTTAATCAAACATGTTGGATTCATGATTCTTTCATGTTCCGTGCACGCCCAATCTCACCAAAACGGAAGCACAGTGGACCGTGGCCAAATTCGTGATGTTGAAAAAACGAAACAGAACACCCAATAGCGACCCCTCCAGTCGGCTGCAACAAGAAAGCCCGGCCCACACACACACACACCAAAGGTGCTCTGGACAGGTGCTGCCGGAGTGTATTCTAGGGCTCCTAATGGTAGCTTGCTCAAACCTGGTGCAAAAAAACATGCCCAGCTAGGTAAACCAACCTCAACGATTCCTTCAAGTTCCTTCATCTATGGGTTACCTTGGTGATTGACGAGTTCGGCTTGGAAAGGATTGATCTTCATCAACATGGGGTTGCAACCCTGTCTTCCACAAACAAAAGTGGGCTTCCCATCCCATGACTATTTGTGCCTTCCATGAAAAGGCATCCCTTGATATCACAGCCAGTCACAACCAAAGCCATCCATCTTCAACGACCAAGGGGCAGCTGATAACGACCGTTTCGGCGCAGTTGAACCAGGGCCAACTGGCAAAGGCAACCCTTGACGCAGTACCATGCACCAACCATCTTGGCGCATTGATTCATACAGGTCATATCTCGTCCCAAATGTAAAAAATGCTCACAATGAAACACCAACCCCACTCCCTTCTCTTCAAAAGGCGGCTGGAGTTCCCATCCGGACTGGACTCGCGCCTGGCCCTGGTGCACCTGAAGCTTCTTTGGCCTGGGAACGACTCGTGACCCGAGTCGCCCGGAGAGGTGCCCATGCAAAAAAACGAGGGCGCCCCCTTGCCACGCGGCCACGCGGCCACGTGCCAAAGAGCTTGGGGCAGTTTTTTGCAAAACCTTCCTATTGACCTCGTCCCACGTCTGCGTTCTGGCTGGTTCTGGCCGGTTCGGTCGCGCTGGGGCCCCCCACTTTGCACCGCCCGCAGTGGTGAACTCGCGCATGGAGAAGGACCAGCTCTAGGCCACGTGATGAGGTGTCGCTGATCAACCGGTGGACGGGTTGCTAATTACTGTGGATGGACAAAATCCTGCGCCACTATGAAGCCATAGGAAACCATTGTTCGGAAATTGTTCGTTGGTATTTACAGGGGAATCATCAGTTCAGGTTTTTTTAGGTGCTGCAGGATTTCGTCCATCCACAGTATGACCAAACGCTTCCGAGAACAGCGACCTGGAACCGCAGATAAGCTGAACGCGTGCAAAGTTTCATGTTGCTGCTGTACGTGTTGCTGCCGGCTTTGGGGCAGTCCATCCTCACAGAAGCCTAGGGGAAGTCCTTTGCCACGACTCAGAAAGGGATTCGGAGGCCTGTGGACAACCGCAATCACAGCCCCCAAATATTCGGCATTCACCACTCCCTTATCAAATTGATACTGGCAGCCCGCTGGCTGAAGAACTTCTCATTGTTATTATGACTCATGCCAAGCCTTAAGGGGAACAATCAAATCCGGGCATGAAAGGGTCCGACCCAAAACCCATGGCGACAACTCAAAAGGGTGTCACCGACCCGCATCAATTTTTGACCGACACCGTCCATTATTCCCGCATCCGGGTTTTGATTGTGGCTCAGGTCACTTGCAAACCCTGATGTTGCTTGAAGTCAACGCTATCCAAGGCAACCCAAGAGGATCCGCCATGCTGCTCATTTGGGTCGATCTTACACCCCTCAGCAAAAGGTCGTTGGACCCAAGCTTAGAAGAAATCAATTTGCCTGCAAAAGGTCTAAGGCTACGGGGCGATTCGGTCACATCAAAAACCAACCATGTATCTGGGCTGCCCTCAGATCCCACGCTAAAAGTTTCACTTTTAGTAGGTTAAATGCGCAAATTGCGACTAAACACTAAAAAATGCTAAATGGAAGCTGCAACTAAACTGCGGCTAACTGGAAGTGGTTAAATGGGTCAAAAAGCTAAAAGATGCTGAGGAATCGGATGGCCTTCGGGAGCCACCAACTAGGTCCTCCAGTAGAGAGGTTAGAATAAGGGTACCCTTTCCTTTTTCCGTAGTCCATTTTAGTAGGGGAACCCTCCCCAAAAAAAGGGGAGAGAAGGGCACTACTGGGGGACCTAGCCAAGGTATGGATTTGCTAAGGCTCCGGCATCTGTAGCCGTCTGTTGCGCCAAGACTTCTGGCACCTCTCCCGAAAATCAGGTGGCCCCGATAGCAACGATGCAACCCTGGGCAAAGGGGCCTGGTTGGCTGCCCCTATAAACCATCCAACTGTTGGTTTCCTTATACGGAAATCCCTGGGTTCATTCCCACATTCCCTAGTGAGCACCAACAAGTTACTAAGGGGTTTGAGCAAAGCTACGAATTTGGGGCGAGGGGGCAGGGATCCCTACATGATACACCCTAACATTGCCTGGTAAATGGTGGTGTCCCTTTATGTTGGAAAATGCCATGTTTCAAATGGGGAAAATGTATCTTGTAAGGAGCCCTGCTGAGCCTACAGACATGAAATCTACAGAGTGGCATCTGCCCACAAGTCAATCAGAATCGCAGTGCCGTTGGCCTGGGGCCTGATGGCTGCGTCTGCAGAAAAGCGGCAGCAGGTCCACGCAACTTATAACATACCTACGCATGAAGTAGACGAAGCAGGCCTCCGCAACTTCCCTTTGGCTTCCCTTTTGGACACGTACCTTTGGTTTTCCTTTTGGACAACCCCAAAAAGGGGAACCACCTCAATCGAGCCCATTTCGGTCCATGAGCCCCAAGGTCCCCAAAAGCTTCTGCCGGGCATCGGGGGCCCCGGTCCTTCCACCACCCCCCCACCCCGCCCCCCCGGACTGGTCCCGGCCTGGGGGATGCAGAAGAAGACTTTGGGCTCGGAGACCTGGGCCAAAAATGGGGCCACGACAGGAAAATGGCCGAACGCCCATCCAAAACCAGGCAATCGCCGTGGGAATCCCCTGCTGGCTGCTTGGAAGAAGTCCCAACCTGTGGTCTGCCACGAAAATGGCCTTCCGAAAAGTATCGACTCTAGAAACTCAGGGAGTGAGGAGGGCAGGATTTTCTAGGTGACCGTTTGGATGCCTCCATGGATACCCCGTCAAAATAGGAAACTCGATGGACATGTGCCAGCTGGGACCTGGACAGAAATGGCATCAAGCCAGAGTCTCTTTCACATCGAAGGCTTAGTTTCCCTTGGGTTTCCCTTTGGCCTTTGGTTAGCGAAATCTATCGGTTTCTATTTGGGGGTGGGTGCCATGTTGGGTGAAAAGCCGTCCCTCGAGCAATTGTCGATTTTGACACACAGTTAAACGACCAAAAGAACTAAAGCTGCTGCCAAAATGGTGCCCGCTCGCTTTTGGCACGGGGCTTGTGTTTGCTGGCTTAGCTTTCGGATTCGTCACGGAGAAGGAGCCACTTTGTTGGGTCCCTCGAGGTGAATCCACATATACGAAACATACACGTATGGATAAATATATGAGACAAAATATATAAATATGCGTGTATATATGTATAATGGCCTAGCAACAAACTCCCTCGCATCCTGAAAGCAACTTTCGACATACTGTGGTTCACTTCAAGGGAACGCCGGCCAGATCCGGCCAGAACCTGGGGCCATGAACGAAAACACCCTCAAAATCACCCTTCAAGTGGGTATCAAAGACATCTTTCCAACAAAAGAAACACAGCTTGCACGTCCACTACTGAAGCCAACAGCCGGCAGCAGCTCTTTTCTGACGCGTGCGCTGAAGTCCTGCGACTTGGTCCACATCAGCCGCAAGAGCGCCCTGATTGTGTGACTAACTCACCTGCCCAAACGACCTGGAACATGCATTTCCTTGAGGTGTCGCTGACAAATCACACATGAGCATGACTAGTTTATTTGAAACCACTAACTCAAACAAATCCTGTAAACTGGGAGGGGTCCAAGGTCGGCTTTGGACATCTGAGTCTGAATGAAAACAAAGCAGGTCCAGCAGTTTGCTCCCGTACCCTTTGTAAGGAAGTCAGCGTGCGGCTCCAAGGGTTGGTCCAACCGCATGTTTATGCATGTCAACGTTCAAGCAGTTGTTGATGTGCATATATCGTGTATATATATATATTATATACCTTATATATATATATGTGGCTATGTATTATGTAAGTGTGTATTTATGTATTTATGTGTTTATGTATTTATGTATGTATGTATGTATGTATGTATGCATGCATGCATGCATGCATGCATGCATGCATGTATATATATATATATATATATATGTGTGTGTGTGTGCGCATTTAGGCAACACGCAAGTCGGTTCCTTCATATTGTCTTCCCGCAATGGCCAGTTGTTTCGCAGAGGAAAGCAATAGGACAAGGAAGGTAGACATAAACCATCCAACACGATCTTGAGATTGACATCTTCACCGTAAGGTACCCAGGCTCAGACGCGGATTTCCAGTCACAGGCAACAGGCCGGCAGGCAATCGCTGGTGCAGAAGACGTTGCTGGCACGAGCCTGGCGCAAGCCGCAGGTAGAAAGCCATGGAAGAAACACCTGTCCAGTTGCAACCATCAACCCTGGCAGAAGATGAGTTAGAACCCTTCGGGGGGTCAACCATCTTGACTGGGGGACCCGCCAAACAATCAGGGACTTGAACAGGATTCCTGCAAAAGGGTGCTGCTTTGCGAAGGGACCCTCTCCATCGGCATCAGCAGGTAAAATCGATTTGCGGCATCTACGCTGGCCCCAATGCGTCCTTCAAGGGACTTTGAAACTTATACTGTGGATGGACGAAATCCTGCACCACCTAAGAAGCCATGAGAAACCAATTGCTTCTTGGTATGTACAGGGAAATCGAATCATGCCAGGGTTTCTTTGGTGGTGCGAAATGGATTTCGTCCATCCACAGTATGTCAGCTCTGCCTGCACAGAGGCCCTCTGCAAGCAGAAGTCCCCTGTCGCCACTTGGCTCTCCGAGGTCTTCTGCCACCAAACATCACCTGAAGCTGCCGCGCTCGGATGTTGGGTCAAACAGAACGTGGGAACGGTACCCGAACTGGCCTTCACCCAGGGAAAGCCAGCACTAAACATGCAAATTACAGATCTTATACAATGAAACAAGCAACGAACCGTGCAAACCAATGGACAACCAAACAAAATAACCAGCGACACAGCAAGTAAACCAGGCACAACAATGAAAAACGCTCAACCAACCAACCAACCAACCAAACAACCAACCGCCCAACCACCCAACCGCCCAACCGCCCGACCAGTCGACCGTCCCGCAAACAAAGAAACAAGCAAAAACCATATTGCAATCGAGGGACAGGCAAACAACGGCAACAAAACCGCAAACAAACACACAAACACACAAAGAAGAAAAAAAAACAGGCAGGCAGGCAGGCAGGCAGGCAGGCAGGCAGGCAGGCAGGCAGGCAGGCAGGCAAGCAAGCAAGCAAGCAAGCAAGCAAAACAACCACAAGCCACTAAACAAACAAGTATGCAAGCAAAGAAAAAAACAAAGAAAGAAATATCAAACTAAGGACATAAAATAATTAAATGAATGACAAAAACAAACAATAAGAAATAACGAAACAAACAACAAAATAAATAAACAATGAGACATAGAGAGCGAGAGAGAAAGAACAAACGAAAGACATGAAGAAATAAATAGACCCATAAATAAACATATCACACAACCACAACCAACCAACCACCCAGCCAACCAACCACCCAGCCAACCAACCAACCAACCAACCAACCAAACAAACACAAACAAACACAAACAAACACACAAACACAAACAAATAAAAATACACAGACTAACAAAGAAGCAAGCAATCAAGCAAACAGGCAGGCAGCAAACAGCAAGCAAGCAAGCAAGCAAGCAAGCAAGCAAGCAAGCAAGCAAGCAAGCAAGCAAGCAAGCAAGCAAGCAAGCAAGCAAGCAAGCAAGCAAGCAAGCAAGCAAGCAAGCAAGCAAGCAAGCAAGCAAGCAAGCAAGCAAGCAAGCAAGCAAGCAAGCAAGCAAAACAGACGTACGTTAGACAAACAGCTGGACAAACAGCTGGACCAACAGACAGACTTTCAAACAACACATACAGTAGACAGACAGGTAGGCAAACAGACAGAGAAACAAACAGAAAGGTCGACGGACAAACAAACAACAAATGCAATCAAACATTTTTTAAGGGAGAACAAACAAAAAAACGCATGGCAGCAACACCGACGTGTTGAGTTGAGATATCTCGGATTCAAAGAGGGGACCACGTCAAACCACAAACTTGTAATTCAGGTAGTAGGCAAACCCGCGTGTTGTTGGCCCTCATGTTCAGCTGGTTTCGATGCAACCAGCATCCTATATTGAGATTCTTGTAGGGGACACTGAACCTTGATCTTCCAGGACCCCGAAAAGGAAAAAATAAGAAAAAAACAGGCCTTCGGCAGATGTTCCATTTGGAACCAGGAGCAAAATCAAGAAGGACCCTTCTTTTCCAGCTCCTTTCAAGACAAAGGATGGGGAATCAGCTGGTTCTTGAAAGAACGATGGTTGCGAAGAATGGGGAATCAACCCCTAGAATCCCCTATAATATTGAGATTCTTGTAGACACCGAAGTTGAGTGAAGTCTAGGGCTCGAATGTTATCCCCAGATCAACCAACCCCTGGTTGATTAATGGGGGGGGGAGGGGGGTCGTCCCCCTTTGGGATTCAAACGACTTTTGAGGGAACACCCCCTAATAATGGGACATAATGGGACGGGTTTATTAATCCTGGGTCAACATTAAATCCGACTAGACTTGGTTACTGTTGACCCCCCTGCAAAAAGTGAATAACTTTTTGGGGGGTAGTCGAAAACACCGAAATATTTCAACCAAAAGTTAAAGTCTAAAGATCCCTTGCCCAATAGCAGTCAAGTAGAGATCGCCGCGGCGCCGACGTCCTCCTGCATGGGCACCTTGTGCATGGGCCGCGCTGGTTCTCTGCCTCGGGCCTGGCCGTGTCTCGGGCCACTCCAAACACCAGGGATTTTTCATTGGGGCTTGTGGTGAAAATATTGACATGCTTTTCCACGGTAGAGACATGAGAAATCTGTGAACATATTAAAAGGTCGGTATCCTAGCAGGTAGATGGTGGGATCACAAAAGGGGTTCCCTCTCTTGCTTTTTATCCATTGATCTTGTCCATGCTACTGTAAAACAGTGAAATGCATGCTACCCCATGGTAGAGAAATCCATTTTGAGTCAGGTAGCCCTAAGACAAGTCTGGACAAATTATAATAATTTCTACCTCGTACCTCGAATTATTAAAAAAGTAATAAAATACTACCTCGCAAATTAAGGGTCCACCTCGCACCTCGTATTTCGGCGTCTTCCTTGCCTCCTAAAAGAGTGTAAAATTGGAGGGGGGTTGAGCCAGATGTATTGTTGAACCTTTTTTTAAAACGTGTGTGCTTCAAGCTTGTTAAGGGCGATTAAGCAGAAACGGCCGGTCTTGACAACTTGAGACCAGTCTCAATGAGAGACAAACAAGGGCCGGATCTTCTCAAACGTCTGTGTTTTCAAGCTTTTCAAGGCCAACTAAGCACAAACGGCTGGTTTTTGAGAATTTGAGGCCAGTCTGAATGAGGGACAGCGAAGGGCCGGATTTCTCAAACGCGTGTGTTTTCAAGCTTTTCAAGGCCAATTAAGCAGAAACGGCTGGTTTTTGACAAGTTGAGGCCAGACTGAATGAGGGACAGAGAAGGGCCGGATTTTCTCAAACGCGTGTGTTTTCAAGCTTTTCAAGGCCAATTGCGCAGAAGCGGCTGGTTGTTGAGAAGTTGAGACCAGTCTGAATGAGGGACAGAGAAGGGCCGGATTTTCTCAAACGCGTGTGTTTTCAAGCTTTTCAAGGCCAACTAAGCAGAAACGGCTGGTTTTTGAGAAGTTGAGGCCAGTCTTAATGAGACAGAGAGAAGGGCCGGATTTCTCAAACGAGTGTATTTTCAAGCGTTTGAAGGCCAATTAAGCAGAAACGGCTGGTTTTTCGAAGTTTCTTCAGGCCAAATAAGCAGAAACGGCTGGTGTTGGAGAACCTGATGCCCGCCTCAATGAAAAACAGAGAAGGGCCGGATTGTCTAAAACATCTGCATCTGTGTTTTCAAGCTTTTCAAGGCCAACTAAGCAGAAACGGCTGGTTGTTCGGAATTTGAGGCCAGTCTTAATGAGACAGAGAAGGGCCATATTTTCTCAAACGAGTGCGGTAGCAAGCATTTTAGGGCCAAATAAGCAGAAACGGCTGGTTTTTGAGAACCTGATGCCCGTGTTAATGAAATTCAGGGCTCGGATTGTCTCAAACATGTGCTTTCAAGCTTTTTACGGGGGTCGCAATCTCGCACACCTGGCCACACTTGGCGCCCCGGTGCGCCGAATAACACCCCACAGATTTGAGAAATCCTTATTTCGGAAACCACCTCGTAATTCGGGGTTTGGGGCTCGCCTCAGGCCAGTGAGCTCGCTATAATTTGTCTAGACAAGTGGGTACTTGGCATAGGGGGCAGGTGTGCATGACTTTCTCCAAATCGAAAAGTCATAGCCCCTAGGCACCCCTCAAAAGGCCGACAGTAGTCAGTGACCCTGGAAAAAAAGGGAACCCTTTTTGGGGAAGACCATTTTCAGTGGGGCAGCCACCAAAAAAAGGGGAAAAAGAAAAAGGGTGTTACTGAACCACTGAGGCAAGACTGGGGCAGGGCAATCTAGTTGCATGCTGCATGACCCTCTGGAGCTTGATTCCGCCATCCACTCTCGCCATGGGAGCCGATCAAGGCCTTACCTTACCCGGTTCTGCCAGCCGACCTCTCGCAACGCGTCCTCACCGCTCTGGCGAATGTTGACCCGTACTTGCTGATCCTAAGTGGCAGGAGCGAAGCACAAAGCCTCATCACTGGCTAGGTGTCGAGGGGGTCCATGTGGATAAAAGCCGTGGTTCTTTCTGTGTTTGAAAGATGAGACTTCGGCAAGGGAACTCGAACCAACAATGGACATTCAGGGGCTAGCCCCCCCCTGACCGCGTCTCCTTGGGTTGGATCTCTACCTGATCTCCCGCCCAACACGAGGGAGTCAGTAAACCCTTTAAATTGCTGGTTCGCTTTGGTCCACTCCTTTGAAACGAAAGCAGGTATTCCGGAGAAAGAATGACACACCCATCGTTCAAATGCAAAAGGCGCATCCGAAAAGCAAACAATTAGAGGACGCATCCAAGTTGCAAAGAAACAAGCGTTCCCCAACAAAAACACAAGCAATCACAAGCAGCTCCCTTCATCAACAAACACATTCCAACCAACAAAAACAAAAAGGACCACCAGCTTCCCTTTCAAAGAGGGGTAGCTGTTTCAATTTCAAAAACACAAAGGAAAACCAAATCCCTTTTTCGGAGAACACTGAGAAGCACAAAGAAACACCGCTTTGCAGAAAACACAACCTATCTCAAAACAACTAGGTCCTCCAGTAGAGAGGATAGAATAAGGGCACCCTTTTTCCTGCAGTCTATTTTACTAGGGTCCCGACCCCCCCCCCCAAAAAGAAACGGGAGAGAAGTTGGCACCACTGGGGGACCTAGACAAACGCCCCCAAACAAGAAACGGGAGAGAAGTTGGCACCACTGGGGGACCTAGACAAACGCCCCCAAAAAAGAAACGGGAGAGAAGTTTGCACCACTGGGGGACCTAGACAAACGCCCGCAAAAAAGAAACGGGAGAGAAGTTGGCACCACTGGGGGACCTAGACAAACGCCCCCAAAAAAGAAACGGGAGAGAAGTTGGCACCTAGCTGGGGGACCTAACGCCCAGCGGTTCCAGCGGCTTCGACCAACCGTCACCTCCGGCCCCAAGGCGCCAGGCCGTTCAGCTCCAGGAACTCCCGGACCGCGAGCTGCGCCTGGGGCCAGGAGCCCCAGTCGTCGATGATCACGAAGCCTCCTGGAAACCGGGACCGTTTGTCCACCCCCAAAAAAAAACGGGGGAGGACAAAACACTAGAATCATACTAGTAATAAACAAAAAACATAATTTATCTCTCTCTAAAAAACAGAATTACCCTTGTCTATTTTCTAACTTTGTTTTTTTTTTGGGGGGGGTTCCACCATGCGTCCCCTTAACTAGGGTAAGGCCAGGAACTCAAGAAGTGAGTAAGTAACCAAGGGGACCCTTGAAGTTCTGGAAGAACAATGGTAGGTTACCATAGTAGTGGTAACTGCGATCCACTGAGTAAGGTCAATGTCTTTCTTAGAGGGCACTCTTTAGGGCAACCATGTCAAAGAGCAATTTTAGGGAATTCCCGTAGTTAGGCACAAATGTTCCTTGGATTCCATATGATTCCATTCAAACCTTAACCCTACAAAGGGCTAAGACTCAAAAAAGACGAGCCACCCATCTTCCTTGCCCCAAAGGAGCGCGGGCGCACACCAAAAGACAAGCCCAAGTGCCGCCGGTCCTACCGTCACGAGGTCCTTGGCTGGGAATCAAATCAAATCCGTGCATGGATACCTTTTTAGATACAGATTCTTATGCATGCAAACAAATATATATAATATTTGTGCCTTTCTTTGGGGATACACGTATATATAGATATATATATATATATATATATATATATTGTGCATATATGATTGAAATGCTTGTATTGCCACCCACTACGGGTGGTTCTCGAAAACCATACTCCTCTGAAAGGGACCCTCTGACGGGTTCAATGTTGGGCGGGGCAGGCGAGGGAAGGGTATAAACTTTAGGATGGTTTTCCCACCCATTCAATTCTGTCTGTGCTTGACCTTGTGGAAAGACACATGCCCCAATGACTCTGACTCCCGCTTCACAACGGACAAAAGCACTCAGTTGATTGCACCTATCAAGCCAAGATGCGGCAAAGAACGCATCCCAAGGCGCCATCGACCATGCAATAAACTCTGTTGCTTGCCAAGCTTCATAGAGGTAGCAAAGAACCTCGCCGCGAGCTTCCCAAGACCGTCCACTAACACCAAAGCGCACTAAGGAACCCGACTGCCGGCAAGCATGCTGCACTAACATCATTGCTCAATTACAGGTCCTGAACATATGTTTTGCTAAGTTACAAGTCGTGACCATGCCTAGCGCCAATCACCTAAAGTTATCCCTGCAATGAAATGCACTACCTTCATGATGATTCAAGCCCAACCAAGTTGCTGAGATAAGGCACGGGGCGCAGGCGACAAACAAACCGAGGCGAACATGTGCCCCACCTGCACTACGCTGTTGTACATGTCACAATCGACCCGAAGCAGCACGAAGCGGGAGAAGGGTGGAATGCGCCACAGGGTGTCCTGCGAGACACGGAACATCCGTCTTGCCGTCTTGTATTCTGATAAATGCGTCGGGGGTCCAATTTTCTGATGCCGGTCTCTGAAGGTATGGCTCATGTTTTCAGGGAAAATGCAGGGAAGCCAGTAGATACCAGGGTTCCGTTGATTGGTTGAGGTGCACTTGGCTCGAAGCACGCCTGGCTAGAGCCGACTTGGGTGGTGAAATGAAGCCACTGATCAGCTGCTTCCTTCTGAAGGCCCAGGAACGTCTAGTGTTGAAAGCACCTCACAAGTCGGATGGTGAAGAAACCTGGGCTACTGCTCGGTACTGGCTGTGTGCCATTGAAGGCTGGCCTCAAACTTCATGTTCGGGTGTGTTTCCCTTCAAACCACCATTCAGAGGACAATGAGTGTGAATCAAGCATAGATACCCAAACTGGAGCCCTGGTAGATGGCTCCAAGGACCAAAACCTGCGGTTTTCCGGTAGTTGCTAGTTTCGACCCATGCCTCAGGACCTGTGAGGCCACTGGCTGCCTCGCTGGCTGGCTCCTGGTAGAAGCCCCGCAGCAGCACCACGCGGCTGTCCAGCACCGTGAAGTCCCGGAAGAGGTTCGCCACGGAGCGCCAGCCCTCCGCGCTGTTGTTCACGCCATTGAAGACCTGGCGGAGGGGGAGGGTGGGGAGGGTGGGGAGGGTGGGGAGGGTGGGGAGGGTGGGGAGGGTGGGGAGGGTGGGGAGGGGTGGGGAGGGGTGGGGGGTGGGTGGGGAGGGGTGGGGGGTGGGTGGGGTGGGTGGGGTGGGTGGGGTGGATGGGGTGGGTGGGGTGGGTGGGGTGGGTGGGGTGGGTGGGGTGGGTGGGGTGGGTGGGGTGGGTTGGGGAGGGGTGGCCGGGGGGAACGCAGCCACAAGCAGTGGCCATCAAGAACTTCATGGCAACCAACATTGGACCAAGGTGATGCTCCCCGCAGGTGGAAAGAAGGGCGAGTTCCGTTTCTGGGCCCCCGAGGTCTGTCACAACAACATGCAACGGCGTCAGTACAAACTGCTTGCTGTTGGAGAACAGGAGACAGCAGAAACCGCAGCCCAACAGAAAGCACGCACCTAAAAGGTTACAATTGGACTGGTGTTTTGGATGTTGTGGGGCCGGAATAACCGCAACACCCGTATGAATCAAGGGGTCCTACAATGATAGGACTCCCTGAAAACGATGTCCTTGGACATCCTGACATCCTCCAAAACCCACTTGCAGGACACCCGAAATATAAGTTGTTTTCTTCAAAGGAAAACACCTTAGCGCAACCTATGGGCTGGAGCCTTCAGATGTCTGCCACATAGCGTGAAACTGGACCTGTCAATTCCCTCTCACGGCCTGGTGAGAAGTAGGCAAGCCATGATTTTGTGTCCTTTGAAAAAGATCAATTCTTGCGCCGATCTTCAAAGTTCCTTTTGGTCGCCTTTTTGCGGGAGCCTGCGTTTGTCGTTTGAGACTGGGCTTCGGCAAATAGGAAGTGACAGGGCCCACCACGGAATAACTGTCCACGTGTAGAGGAGGGGAAAGCCCTATGGAACATGATCATTTCGCAACACGTAACGCGCGCTGGCTTCTGAATTCCCATGCATCTGATTTGAGGTAATGTTACAGGTCTGGTTGGGCGCCGGCTCCTGCATAATAATGCCAACTGCGATGTTGATCGCATTCCCTCAACACAGGCGGAGCATCTGACCAGCTTAAAGACTACATTTGTCCGAAGTGGGAAGTGCCGCGCGAACCTTGAACATGCATGCAGAACACAACCCAAAATACGCAGAAACACCACCCAATGGCAAGGGTTTCTTGTTCGCGGTGAGCGCCCTTCTTATGCTGAGGTCGATCCTCAGTGAAGTTGCCCAAGCAGCATCCATGTTTTTTGTTTCCCACTTCATTATATACATACATTCCCCCTCAAAACAGTATTTGGCATTGAGAAAAAAGCAAACACACAAACAAAAGAGAAGTCCAGAAAACGGATGGAGATCCTTCCGCGCAAGGGAGCCCGCCAACCACCCCCATGCCGTCGGAGTGATGCGTGCGGGGCGCCGCGTCCACCCCCGAGTTGTTCTGCCCGAAGCCCTGGAAGCTGTCCAGCAGCCAGACCCGCCGGATCTGGCGCTGGGCATTTCTTTGGTTTGGAGAACCAGGCCGTCGCATCTAGATGAAGCAAGAAAGGTTGCTTTCAGAATCCGCGAAGCTTGGCATTTTTTCAAAGCCTCAAGCAAAGACCCCCAAGTACAGGGCCTGAATCATGGTATGTTGGTTTTGCTCGGTCCACTATGGATTGAACAAGGCGTTGGGCCAACCCAGCCTGACGCGTGCGGATTTGGAGGTGTTCCGTCGCGAACTTCCTGGGGCCGATCGAGGACCGAATTCACAAGTCTCAAGAGGTCCAGGGTCTGTCATGGACCTTTTAGGGGCTATGAAGAGAGTCTGTCACCTAACAAAGCCCTGTATTGGGTCTTATTGGGGCGTGTCCTTGGCTTCTGAAGGCATACTCAGGGACAGCAACTCCCAAAGTACCTATGGGCCTCCTTGATGCCCCTCCGCATGCTTGTAACATGCACGACGCTGGTGGGGGGAAAAAACTTGCAGCCAGGACTCAGGAGGAGAGAGTGGCCACCTCTCCAAACACCGGCTTCTGCAATGTCCCCACGGATTTGCGCGTGGCTGGCCCAAGTCAACAGCTGAATGCTGGTCCTCATGCGGTCCTAGCCACGGATGCCGCTGATTTTGAGACAGTGCCCGCGATGTCGAGTCCTCATGGGCTCATCATTTCTAGTGGCGAAGCCGCCAAAGTTTCACCCACGATGTGCAGGACAGTTCATCTTGATCTTTTCTAGAGTGACGGACGTCAACCCAGGTTAAACCATGTCCAACTTTCAAGGAATCAAACTTCAATCCTCGAGTGTGCCATCCAAAAATGTTCACCCTTACCTGGGAAAAAAGGGAAGCAAACCACTGGGTGTGTAGGCCATTTGGCCCCTTTACTTGGGAAAATATACGTGGCTTGTAGTCCAGCCTTCTTTTGTCACCAAACAAAGCCGCCGGAAGAAAATCGGAAGAAAGGAACCCTGATCCGGCGCGTGCGACTCCTCCGAGGTCATGGTGATCTTGGGCCAGTGCTCCCCCACCAGGCGGCAGGTGCTCTCCAGCCATGGGTCCGGGGTGAGTGCCCGGATCCCCTCCCAGCTGACCCAAACGTCACCTCAGAGCTTCACGCGGCTGGGTCACATCAAAAACCTAATAAACCCACCCCAAAAAAGGGCGGCTTTCTTTAAAGCTCACCGTTATTTTTATGCACCCAACAGAACCCCAAAATGGGCGGCGTTCTCTTAGACTCCCTTTTTTTGACACCGCCCAACACGAGGTAGCCTCAAAAACAGGCACGCTCAAATGACATGGGTGCGGCTCGTCAAAAGGATTTCGACCCCACAACAGGCTTCGGCAGTCCTGTATGGCTTCTCTTTAATATAACCTGAAAGGGGTACCCTCAAAAAACACCCAAGGGCTTTCCCTGTTGGATGTTGGAAAAGAAAAACAAAAGACCCACCCGCATTGAGGTGGTTTTGCAGGGAACACCCGGACAGAACCCCTTCATTGGGACTGCGGCTGACAGGAGTCGAAAACTTGAATACTTGGATAACCAGTTTAGAAGTGGTTGACAACCCTACTTGCAAGGCCACCTCTCCCTAGGCATCATTCAGCCCACATGCAACAAAACCTAGTGGACAACCCCTAAGTGAGCTAATTCTCAATGCCAAAAAAGCCCACGCCCTTAAGGCCTTGTGTCTCTGGCCCAAACTTGCGAAGCAAGGACCTGGACACCAGCCCTGCCCAACTAAGCCTCCCAACTAAGCCAACAAATCCAATCCCGTAGGCAACCAAAACGTTGAGAAAGGTTTTCTTTGATTTATCTCACGGCTGCATGGCGGCCACCCGTAAACAAGCCACATCTGGAATCTGACTCTACGTCAAATACGGATTGGACAAGCCAAACAAATCAAGCATTTCCGCAAACAACCAAACTGGCCAAGTAGAGACTAAGTCTGGCATGGCTGACATTGGGGTAAGAATGGACGATACTGCATCAAGGAGACATTGACAGGGATGCATGTTGGACATTCCGGGGCCCCAATGAACTTCGTCGTTGCCACTGCCACTGAAAGGATCCATCATAGAGCGCGAGTGGCACACGTGGATGATCCCCCTGCTGGAGATTGGAATCTCAAACCACAATACGCGTGTCAGCCATGACGCGTGCCAAACCAAGCCAACAACCATAATGGAGAAACGGGAAAAAAAACCAGGCGGCTTTGGCAATGTGAATGGCTCGGTGCCAAAAGGCGTGGGGAGGAAGCCCAAATATGCTTTTATTATGCCCTTATCAAGCCCTTATTAAGACCTCATTTAAGGCTCCCCCCCCCCCTCTCCCTTCCCCCCAGCCCCCATGAATCTCGATCCAAGCTACGCGCGCTCGCAGGCAAGGCCAAGAGAATCCTCCATGGCATTGAGTGCCATCAGAGATTGCACAGAAATGGTGTCAAGTTCATGCATGCAAACACATGTTGCCGAAAACTCCGAAACGACGAAAGGGAACCCAGCGCAGAATGTAAGAACAAAAGCCGCTGTGCAACTCGCATGGCGTTCAGATGTTCCTAAGGGCGTGGACAGCTTCATGGATCCTAATCCTTCAACTTGGGCCACGAGCGCAGAAGCAGCGGGACATGACTTGGCCGGTGCAACCTTGGCATTGCGCAACGGCTCAGGGTGGTTGTCAAGATGCTGGAGCCCTCCAATGGCCGCCCTGGCACGAAGTTCACAAGCGTGAGCCAAAAGAGCTCGGTTTTGACAGCTCAGCTAAGGTTGTTTCGACGTTCATCTACAAACTGGGCACCTGAGAAGAACTGCAAACCCTTCGGGATCAATGTTACGTCAGCTTCCGTTTTGCTGGGTGGGGGCTTCGTTCTTTCGAAGATGTCCAAACATCCGGGAGGTTATGTTCAATCTTCGCTTCAGAACCACCCCTATTGGTATGGTCCTCTCCCAAAGGCTCTTGGGGCTTTCAATGGAAGACCCGACCCCTCCGTTAGACACCCCGGAGGTGGTTGGGGGTCTCAAAACCAGGTTGTTTGAAGGCCCTAAATCGGGAGCCTCTGGGCTGGATGAATTTGAAGCACATCGTTCGCCGCTCTGGTCCGCTCCATTTCTGCCGCTCGCCCACGAGACGCGATATCTCCACGCGCCCATCGCCGCTGCCTTGGGGCGACCCGTTGCGGAGAGTAAGCCTCGCTGGGCGCTCGCGAACGCCAGTTCTCCACCGTCTTCGAGATGAACGAGGTGCTCCTCAGCGGCTTTGTGGACGGAACATCCGAACATCCCTAAACCCAAGCCCAGTGAGCCCCCCCTACATGCACTCCGGAAGGCCATAAAACAACGATGGGAGTCCAAACAAACAAACAAAATGGGAGAAGGACAAAACATCAAATGCGAGCACCAAAACAACTGGCCTTCTGCAGCATCCTCTGCATGATCCGCTTCGGCAGAGACGAGCCTCAAGTCGCCCTTCCATAGCGCTGGACCAGCTTGCCCTGCCAGGGAAGCACTTTTCCGGGTGTTCAGGCCGTGTGATTTCCGCACCTACAGGGGCCAAGGGATGTCCAAATCACCTGGGAGCCGTGCTAGAGCCCCACATGGCCCAAGTACCCGAAAAACAGTCTGCGCTGCGCTTCATTGCGGTTGCGCAGTTCTGTGACTGCGCAAGCCACAGTATGCGTGTTTACCGACTCAGCATGCAAGGAGTGCATCTTTTGGGATGACATCTTCCACTCACTTACGCACTACGAGTGGCTAAAACGGGACACCTAGCAACCTTGACAAACACTTTGCCAACATCGGATACACTTAGAATCCTGCAAGCACATCGGCCACAATGGGAAACTGTGGAACATTGCCTCAAAATCGGCCACAATTGGAAAAACACAAATGCCGAAATGGGAGGACTTTAAAAGGTCAGCTCAAGGTGCTTTGGTTGCAAGGAAAAAGTGAAGCATTTGCTGGTTGAAGTTGACAATGACCATGGACGAAAAGCAGCAAAGGTTCAAAGTGGTTGTTCTTTGCGCCGGCAAATTCAATCTAAGCCTACCCCACCCCCCCTCCCCATGGCGGACACATGGGGTCGATTCCGCATTTAGGGTATTGGTCCTTAGGGTTTCCAGAACCCCAGAACCGACTCTGCCCGTCCATGGCGCCTCCCCCCCCCTCCTCCCACCCCCCTCCCACCCCCCTCCCACCCTCCCCGCCCCAGGGTTTGCCTGGATGCTCCTCACCGCGGCCGCCTGCACTTCCGTGATCTCCCGCTTGGTGAGCATCCGCTCCTCAGCGCTCAACGACTGGTGTCGAGGATGCGTGTTTGGAGTGGGTTCAAGGGGAAAACCCCCGTTTGGAGCATAGGTGGCCGTTTGAAGAAAAATCGATGGGTTTCCCTGGTAAATGAAAAATAGACCTCATCTAAACCAGGGCCCTCTATTGTTTGAGCAACCCAACCAGCAAGGACACCTGTGCCAAGGAGACGAACCGTGTTTTTCTTTGGGGGGAGGCTGGAGTGGCACTAGGCTGGGGCTGCTCAAATCGGAGGGTTGGTCAATCCAAACCACCCCTTATTGAAACCAACTACCAAAGTAACCTATGAGGATTACCTTTTGAACACTCCTGGTTGAGTGTAGTTCATCAACCCGAACAAATCGATTCCCAGGCAACATACAGACTGATGCGAAGCTTTGCTGCAAGGATGCGGGGGCCGCTCTGATTAATCTGATAATTGATTGTTTACACATACTTTCTCATGAACCCAAATGACTCTCTACAAATACATTCCCATCAACAGCACAATCGGAATGGAGTTCTGGGATGTGTGAAAAGCAATTTCAGCCAGGACCTTACTTGCACCATGTCAGTATGGCCGTGGTCTCAGTGGTATAAACTATTGTGACCTGCAACTAAAGGGTTAACCTTTTGGGGCCATGACTAAATATGGACCAAAGTGGGAAAACCAAAAGGTCAAAAGGTCGGCTTTGAACAACTAAGTCCATGCCACTCCTAAGTAGATTGCACTTGCCATGTCGCACCTTGGCACCTCAGAGTCCTCAGAGCCCCTTGCATTTTGCCCGTCGTAAGCAAAGCAGCATGACACGTTCGCGTGGTTCATCGCTTTGCCCGAGTCATCCCACGTCACCCGAAACCGAATTCATCGGTGATCCTGCTGTTGACCCCCCTGCAAAAAGTGAATAACTTTTTGGGGGGTTTAGTGGAAAACCCCTTGATTTCCCAAAAAGTTAAAGTCCAAAGATCCAACCCAATAGCAGTCGATCCCTGTTTCTATGCTCATACTTGGCCGGGGGGCCAAGAGGCCCGTCTGCTCCAGGGCCCAAAGCACTTCTTCTTGAAGTTGACTGCTTGTGGCAGGGGCCTGCAGTTGAAGCTGCCAAGCTCGCGCCACGAGTTCCCCCCTAGAAAACCTACGCGTCACCTTCCCCCTTGAAACTCCACAACAGCCAGTTGGAAGAGCGGCTTTGCAGTGAGAGGCCTCAAACGGTGGGTGCATCTTCATACTGCTCCCCCCCCTCCGCCCCAAACACACCACCTCCCCCAAAACGCAACAATCCCAAGAGGCATGCGGAACGGAGCCCCAGCACATGCCGCACCGGCCTCATCCATTCCAATGGCCTCGAGTAGAATCCGGAAGGGCACGGCTGGATCCTGGCTCACGTTGCCCCCTTTGGGCGCCCTGGGGCCTTCCGTCCAACATGGAACTCACCAAAGTTTTCAAAGGGTTGGACATCATGTTCAGGAAACTCCCACGCAGGTTCTACGTTAGTTTCAGGATGCTTTTGGAGGGGCGAAAAACAGTCAAGGGGTTGCTTCCTTCGAGTCCCTTCAAAGGCTGAACTGTTGCTTCCAATGAATTGCTAAAGTACGGATCTGCCCAAGTCGTTTCAAGCAGCTCCCGTTCCGTTGAGTGTGAGATGGCGGAGTCCAACTCAGCCACCAAAAGCCATGTACCGATCCCTTCCCAGCCACAGGCACACCGGGAAGCGGCCAAGCCCAGTGGATCTGGATGCCTAAAACCTGAAGGCCGGACTATACACCCCCAGCTGCCGACCCCTACATATATAAGAAGAACAACAAGCGTATTATCATTCTGTATTATATAAATATATATACATTTATATAAGCAATGTCTACAGAAAGGGTATTGTGACAGCAAGGCGCATTTCATAGTCGTGGTTGAGACCGTGAAAATACAGTATGATGACAGATCCTCAATCACCCACAACCCCCGCAATCCTCAAGTTCCCTTGCAAGCTTGGTGTTGGAAACAGGAGGACAGGACACGACCATCTCCTTGAGTTGCTTCATCTGTCCCTGACTCATTATTCCTTCGTTTTCATCAAATCAGGTGACATGTGATTATTATTATTATTATTATTATTATTATTATTATTATTATTAATATTTTTACTATTATTATTATTATACAACCTCCCCCTGTGGTACCACTGCCAAATCACCGAGCAAAAAAGCAAACAGAACCACCAAACATACAGCTGATGCCCTAAATAGCGCTAGTTCAGTGGGAGAACAAAGCAAACCTTGATTACCGCAAAATCCCAAAGTCTGGTTGCGGCTGGTTTATTTGCAAGGTTTAAAGCGTCAACTATGACAATAACAGCGATAAGAGTGAAGCAAAACAAAACCAGAAGAAAAACTGACCCATCCCGTCGCCTGGCGGCTGCTCTGAGCCCAGACCCCCAGCGCGCGGCTCCAGCGCGGCAGCAAGTCCGGGGATGCCTGGCTGATGGCCATCCCCACCGCCTCAGCCGCGCCAAGGGCCCATGCGACCAGAAACTTTGAGAGTTACCTCCAAAGTGGACGAAAGTCTCCTTAGATTATTGTCCACCAAAGGGCTCCAGTGAAATGACCCAAAGACCCTGTCCAATACTGATTCAGAGC